ATCTTGTCGCATTTCCCTCATTCCCCAGGGTCCACTCCACCCCCTGAACTGCATTTGTGCACCCGCCTCTCTTCTCTGCATCTTCCACCTCAATGTGGCTCCAAGCCTGGAGCCCGCTTCCTTGCTCCCTAGCAAGAAGGAGAGAGAAAGAAAGAAAGAAAGAGAGGCAGGGGTAACAGGAGATAGTAACTGGCTCCTGCAAGACCAGGTTTCGAACTCACTAGTTCTGTATCCCGTTATAACGCTCCCCCTAGTCCTTCCTGGGACTTCTAAGCCTAATTCTGTGATTTGATTTACTGTAATTTATGGGTTTTTAAAATCATCTGTGGGAGGTGAAGGGAAGGAAGGGCGAATGGGGGGTAGCAAACTCCCTCCTTCTCTAACCTTTTCCCCCTCCCACATCTTCCCCTGTTCCTTTGTATGGCTAACAAAACCCTAAAGGTTGTTCGACTTCGGGAAGCAACTGATAGGTACATTTCCGCAGCTCCAAAATGCCACTTTTATGACGCTGTTTGTCTCCCTGCGCTAGGTCCTGAATAGGACTGAACAAAACAGCATCGCTGAGCTGGCTAGACGTCTGGGCTTAATTGTTTTATGGTTTAAATAAGGTGGACGCTCTTTCCTTTGAAATCGGATTATAGGAGTGTTTTGTCTACGGGCCACAGAGAACAGGACCTCACTGGCTGGAAGTAATGGTGGGGGGATGGGATAGATTAAAAACAAGGAAGGGGGACACCACGGAGGATTCAATGTCCCACCTTAGAGCCAAGCCTTTGGAGGAATGGGACATGAAAAGGGACAGAGAAGAGGGTAAGAAGCGGGATGTGGGGGAGGATGTACGAGCGTGCATGTGGTTGCCTGAAATGGGAGATGGCTTTTTAAAAAACAGCCTAAATACACACTGAACTAAGCTCAGAGGGAAAGGTTTGGAGGGGAGGAAGTAAAACATAACAAACGTTGAAATTTTATCAGAGATATTTATTTTAAGTGCTTAGAGATCAGATATTGAGAGATCCGGAAGCTCCATTTCCGACTTAGCTCTCCCAATTCCCTCATACTATTCTTGAGACTTCTTACCCCTAACCTTTCTACCCTATTTCTAACCTGAACCTAGTCCAAAGACCCCGCTGTTTCTTTTTTCACAACCCCCCACTGAGTGCATTGATGCAATTGAACGCTAGGTGGCGCCGTTGCTCAATGTTAGAATCCACTTCGCTGGGTTTGTCTGCCCTACTCCAGCTACATTTTAGGACTGCTGTGGGGGATTGGGGGGAAGAAGGGGGCGGGGAGCGGAATCAATCTTACCACCACCACACAAATCTAAACAAATATGTATAAATTCTCTCACCTATGATTTGTAAATTAATATCTAATGCAAGCTAGAGAGCGAGGGCCCTCGCCCTGTCAGGGAGCCCTTGCAGCTCTGTCTCAGAGGGAAAATAATCTGTTTCCACCAGGAGATAAGAAATAAAATAGACTGCATAATTAAAACACAAACCCAGGATGACCCGGACAAATAGACATAAATTCGTGGCACCAAAGGCGGGGATGGAGGGCGGAGGATGGGAGAGAAACGCATGGAGAGGAGTGGCGTCCAAACATTTCCTTTATTACTAGCCTGGGATATCCATAGGATCAAACTAACCGCTCTCTGTATTTTAAAGAAGAAAAATCACAAAGAAGACCACACAGTCCATTAGAACCTGGTGCCGGCCCATGGCGCTTGAGCCCACATGAAAACACACACACACACACACACATACACACACACACACACACACACACACACACACACCGCTTTGCTAGGGGGAACCTTCTCGCTCACTACCCACCCTCGGGGGATCCAGTCGCATTCCAAGACACAAAGCCGGAGAAGAATGCGTTTACAGCGGTGATTTCTCTGGACCATAAAATGTCGAGAGAGATATTCTATCCCCCCCCCCCCCAAAAGATAAGGCAAAGAGCCTGAGAGCTGATTAGGTGGGCCTGGCCTCCTATGCGGCAGGAAGATAAAGTATTTACGACATTTCCCTGGAACACTGTTGTCCCCCACTCCCAGCCTCCTGAAAACCGTGGAATTCCAGAAATGTCTCATTTTTGGGAACTTGTTATAAGAGATCTCTAGACGGACAGTACCCACCTATGATGCACCCCTCCACCACATGCACTAGGCTTTCCTCCTCACCCTAACAACTTCAACAATCACACTTTTTGTTCATCTCCCCTTTCTTCTACCACCCCAAGGCTGGGGATGGGTGTAGAGAAATAAGGAATTCTATAAACTCCCTCAAAACAGGCACCTTCTAGAATATTTCCTCTCTGCCTTTTTCCCTCCTCACATGTGCTCTTTTGGGTTGCTGGGGTATGTATATTGGATGGGAGGGATAAATGTTAGTGCTGGTAGGGACCAGGCTTAATCAGTTTAGTTTTGAGTATGGTGGGGAGTGGGTGCCAGAAAATACCTGCAGTGTGTTTCTGAGGGATATTTTCCTGTAGGAAGGTACAGATTTTTTTAGAGAAAAGCTCTTTTCCAAGTCCTCCCTTTCAAGCCTATAGAATTTCACATTTTCCGGGTTTTGCTGACACCATATTCCCTGAAGAGTATTACAAATCTGGGAGCTCCAAGGTTATTTCCTCAGTTGTCTTTTCCTATCAATTGGGCACTTCCTGTCCCTTTCTCCATTCTGAGATCCTACTTTTGGGGAGTGGGTAAAAAAAAAAAAGAGACAAGATTTCCAATGCTTTCGAATATAATTCTAAATCTAAATGGGGTGGAAAAAAGGAAAAGAAATTTCTTTGAATTGAAAAGGTTTAAATATGGCTCTGTATTGTAAAGTAAGTATATTCATGTATATGTGTGCCTATGTAACATAGGCACATATGTAAACAGCAAGAATGTGCATATACAGTATGTATTATGTGTGCATGTTGCGCGTTCATATACAGAACTGTATAGTGTATGCATATCTATGACCAGAAAATGAGTATGGTATACTGTGTGAATATATGTGCATATAAAGATGCCTGTCTTGTGAAATTCATGTAGGCTGTACAATTCGTATTTATACATAGATAATGAGTATTGTGTGTCTCTATAATAGTTTTAAAATAACTTCACAAGCAAAGGTGAAAAATAGAAGAAAACCCGATCTTGCTCTGTGCCTTGCTTTCCATACACAAAGCCCACAAGTATGTTTCTTTCTGATTCTCCGTGTATAGCTATCACTTCATACAGATATCTCTCTAGCAAGATGCTAAGTGGATTGCAATTCTCTTTTCAATGGAATTAACTTGAATTTGTTTTGGCTATGGGGGGGGGGGGTAGTAAGAATCCCCTAGAGAAAATATTGGTAAATATATACAGAGGATCTGTTAACAGTTCATTCCATATCCATGATTGTGTGGACAGGCCTGGAATGGTGAAGGGCTGAAGAAGAAGAAAGGAAAGGAATGAGTCTCCTTTCCAAAATCAGATAGTTCCTGTTTTATTGGAGGAGGAGGAGGAGGAGGTAATCAAAAAATGGATGTTAGTTCCTATCCTGGAGTCCCTTTCACCTTCCCAAAAGAAAAGAAGTCTCCAAAAAGCAGACATTTGGGGAGTAGCTTTAAGGATGAGGTTTTTAAGTTGAGAAAAAGGCCTAGAGATGAGCGATGGTGAGGGAGGGGGAGGGGCAGAGGACACAAGGTAGGCCTCTTGCCCCCTTAAAGAAGAATAGCAAGGACAGCAACAACAAACCACCTGCAAAAAGGCATCAGACAAAAGCCCAGTAGCCTAGCTTATTCTCTGTCATTTTTTCTTTTCAGTGTTGTTGGTGCATCTGTGTGTGTGATGGTTGGGGGGGGGGCAACAGCTCTAATATTCAAGCTATCTATCTACCTACTTTCTGCACTTCCTCTGGCTTTTCTCTGGACACCATTTCCTTTGGGTGAGGAGAGTTCAGAATAAGTTTATTTGTTTGTTTAAACAGAAACAGAAACAAAAAAACCACCCAGCACTCCTTGTGGCCAGGCAAAGGGACCTCTGTGTCTCACCCTCGGAAATAGTCTTAAACACCCCAGTCTCACTGAACTTCCCTTTGCTCGGGGTCCCAGTCCTTTGGGAGAGAAGCACAGAGTTCGCCATTGCACATGACCAGGGATGCAGGGATGTGTGTGTGTCAGGGGTAGAGAGTGTCAAATGTTGTAGCCGCTGCTTTCTCCTCACAGTTACCCTATTTAGGGAATTCCCTCTTTAAGGAGGGGGGTGGTCTCCATCTCCTGGTGACCCATTCATCCCCTTCCAAGGCTTCTGTACCTGTTGAGGTAACCCAAGCTGACCTGGTGACATATATGTATCTCTCCCAGTGAAGAAGCTGAAGAGAGAGGAGAAAGGGGGGAAGAGGGAAAGGCACCTTCAAATAGGAAATCGCACCTTGAAGCATCAGCCCCTCGCTGCTAGCTCTGGTTTGCTCCCCCCC